CCCCCCCAAAAAAAAAAAAACACATACAGAGTTTCCTTGTCTATGTAGGAGTTTTCTCTTTCAAAACATAAAAAATAACAGTCTGACACCTTGATTCCCTTTTACTAGTCTGTGGCACTACTTATATATCACTATAATTGTCACATCATAACCTATAACTGCCTAATCTGAAATTAATATAAAAATAATTGCCTTGTAACTTTATACAGAATTATATCTGCCTAAATCAGAATTTGACCTATCAGGTGATAATCATTACTTGATATATATATATATATATATATATATTTATTTATTTAAATATTTGAAATTCATTTTTAGAATTATATTTCTACTGCTGTATGTTCTGCAAGTAAATTTTTATTTATCTCTAATACAGGTGGTCTTATATGGGTGAGTGAATGGAACTCGCTGCAGCATCCTGTTGCATCTGCATTCTTAGCTGCTGTTTACAGTGACTATATGCTTACATCGCAGACACCAAAACTAAAATGTGATTCAGAATCCTTTACCCCGTCAGATCTTCGAGACTTTGCCAAGTCTCAGGTATGCATTCATTATTATTTGCACAGAATATCTGCTTGGAGTGAACCATGTTCAAATTGAAAATCTATGTACTACTTTCAGGCTGATTACGTATTGGGCAAGAATCCTATGAAAATGAGTTTTCTGGTGGGCTATGGAGATAAGTACCCAGAATTTGTGCATCATAGGGGGGCTTCAATTCCTGCTAATGCAAAAACTGGCTGCAAGGATGGCTTCAAGTGGCTTGAGTCATCTAATCCTAATCCCAATGTAGCTACTGGAGCACTTGTTGGTGGACCCTTCAAAAATGAGACTTTCATCGATTCCAGGAACAATTCCATGCAAACAGAACCAAGCACATACAACAGTGCTGTCATAGTCGGTCTCTTGTCAAGTTTAGTCACCACATCTTCAATTGTTCAATCCTTTACCTAAGCTGTAGCTTCTTCTCCGTCCCCAATTGCACGTAAAAAGGTTGTTAGACACAGGTTTGTGTTTTTTGTAGCTTGGTTCATTTCCTGATCCTGACAAATGAAGTGTTGTTAAAAGCACGAAACATGATATTGTAACGATATGCTTGCTTGTATGAGTGTAAACCGCGAGGTATGGATAGGTTTATCGTGAATATATGTACGGGTGTAGTTTGATTTGGCATTATTAGCTCAGCAGGTGTGGAGCTATTTTGTTGTAGTTGTTTGTAGAACACATCTTTAAAATTTATTATAAGTAGTAGTACTCGTACTATTGTTATCATTAGACTGTGATCACATTATTGATCTTTGCTTTAATTTTGTTGTACGAGCAATCTGTTTGACACAACCAGCACTCGACATGTACATTTTGTTGGCATACGTCTACCTACTACCTAGTACTAACGCTGGATATCATCACTTGCCTACATGCAGTTATCCTTTATTATGCAAATATGATTTCTTGAGGAAAAGAATATTCTTTTATTCTTTTCCTTCATTAACTGAAATGTAACAAGAAACAATAATACTGCTTGCTCCTCATGTTAAGAGCGAGGTAGTAAATTTAGGTAGTGCTTGTTTCCGCTGATTTACTGTTCACGACGAACGAAAGGCGAAGAAAGTTGATGTTTGTTTCTGCTGATTTGCGAGGAAAGAAAGGCGAAGAAAAGCGGTAGAAGCTCCGTTGCCGTCCTCGCGCTTTTGCGAAGAAAAGAGATGAAAGCCACGTAAGATTTGAGAAAACCCGATAATACCCCTGCCCCATACATGCAGAGACTGTGCCATTGTAGGTAAGCTTCATTTCTTTATGCATGAAGGAGGGTAAAAATGAAGCATAATCTATTATGCATGGCACATAATTGATTATGGGCTGGCATAATCGATTATGCCTCATGTAGGAATGAAGCATAATCGATTATGCATGACACATAATCGATTATGGTGGCATATTTTCGCTTTCAGGCGAAATCAGAACGGGCCGTTCCAACACTGGATTTTATGAGCAATATGCGAACTCAGAACGGGCCATTCCACTTTGGAAACAGGCCGTTTCACACATGGCCGTTATGTGTTAATTTGTAATCCAGAACGGGCCGGTCTGGTATGAGAACGGGTCGTTTTGGATATAAAATAATGTTAAAAAATATAATTATCATAATATATTTTGTTATTATTATTTATTATTATAAATATTATTATTATTATCATTATTATTAATATTATTATTATTTATGATAATTAATATCATTATTATTTATTATGATTCTTATTATTTTTCTAATATTTATTATTATTATTTACAATAAATAATATTATACTCATTTTTAATCTAAGGGTAAAACCATCTATTAAATTTTTAATTTTTATTTATCATTAAATTTAAAGAAAATATTTAAATTAAATTATTTTTAAATTGATTTTATATTTATTTTTTTAGTTAAAATTTTTATATTTATCTTTTAATTATAATAATTATAAACTTTTTTTTAACCTAAGGGAAAAATAGTAATCTTACAAAACCATCAATTAAAAAATTCATTTTTATCTATCACATCAATCAATTCACTCACAAACTTTCACAAACTTTCTCTACATTTTTCACTTACTTTCCCTTAATCCAAACAACCTCACTTTCCACTCATTTTCCCTTCAAATCCCTCCTTTTCCACTCCCTCTTTTCCATCCTCAAATCCAAACAAAATCTTAAAGTTTAAGTTTGAAACTGAAATTGGATAACATGGTAAGAGAAATGTTTGTGATACTCTCACTAATGAGAAATTATTAGGTAGATCACCAAATATTCATAGTCCTGACTAATTATTATGTGAATATAATTAAGATTTTTAACTTATGGGAAAAAATTAATTACATTTTATTATATGTCATATAAAAATTAATCATGGACTATGTGATCTATAAATTTCTCCCTCTAACACTTCTGCTAATACTTCTTTTCTTTTTATTATAAGAAAAAAAATTAATTTTATTAATTTCATAATATTCTTAAATTGTCTTTGTTATAAAAATCAAAAAGGATATTACAATTGAAAAGTTGTGCATTAAAAAATGAACATTTTAGAAAGAGTATCATTAAATGGGATAAAAATAATTGAAATTTGCTTATATATTTAAAAATAAATTCTTTTTTTTGCTTATAATAGAGAATAAATGGACTAGAGCCAAAATTCATAAATTTTGATAAATTTTCTACTACTAAATTATGAGACATTCATTAAATGAGATGCGAAATATATTTAGTAAATTTCAATCAATAAAATGTAAAAGGAAAAAAATTGTTAAAAAGAATGTCAGTAACATTCTTTTAATATAGGAAAATTTGTACGACTATAAAGCGATTCACATATAACCTTTTCGCATTATTTGAGACAGATGTACCACTATATGATTCAAGTGGAGTGGATGTATTTCAAATATTTCAAAAGAGGATATGGCTCAAGTTTAAGAAAAAAGAGTAATATACCAAATCAGTCATTGAAATTACGAACCTTAGTTAACTTAATTCTTAAAATTATAAAAAGTTCTTTAGTTTCTTAAAATTATAAGGTGATGCTGGTTGCTATACTGCATGGACTTCAGATATGTTGGAATAATAATCTTGGAGCTATTCAATGTAAAATTGATAATTTGAACATTGCTAATATCTTCTTGTAGGGGAATACCCTTTTGGCCAAAACATAGGATGGCTACGCCCTTCGGCCTGGGAAGAGGTCGAGGTAGGCACCTACCGACGAAATCTCCACTCAAGTCACCCCTTCGGCCTTGAACTTGGTCAAATACCCCTTTTCCCACAATGAAAGGTGAAGGAAGCATTCTAAAAGTGGACAAAAAAGCATCAAGGAAAAACGTTCAAATCACTCCTTCGACTTTGAATATGACCGAACACCCCTTCGACCTTGAGCTTTGCCGAATACCCCTTCGGCCTCAAGCTTGGCCAAGCCTCCCTTCGGCCTTCAGATTGACCGGATACCCCCCTCGGTCATGAAAACAATCGAACACCTCTTCGGTTAAAGGCTTGGCCGAAAACTCAAAGTGTATCAACCTATATGGAACATATGGCAAGTTAGGATATTCATTACACATTGTTTATCGTGTTTAATTAAGGGAGATCAAGGTTAACCAAGGTATTACCCATCTCCCAAGACAGAAGGCCCACCAGGCCCAAATACGTCACTATAAATATACAGGTGATGGGACAGAAAAGCAGGTATAATTTATCTAGTATAAAACTCTTTATTGCTTTATATCGAATACTTACTTGAACGTTGGAGTGCCTTTGCAGGTACCTTCCCTGCCCTTCGGAGATAGTATTCGGTTGGCACTGAAGACTTAGAAGATCGTAAAGAAGGAGCGACAAGAGAAGTGTTTCTAAGCAGAAACACTTTTAATTTAGAGTTTGCCCGAGTCATCATCCTTACGCAGCTTTGGATTTAGATGTGATCCAATTACTTTTCAGGGATTGGCATGTGATTATTAATCATGTTAGTAGTGAGGCCAATGTTATAACCGATTATATATCTTGCTAAGTTCAGCGTCCATCAGTTGAAACCTCTTTGTATTTGGAAGGAGACCTCTCCTGTCATTGATACCCTCCTCCTCCTCCTCCTCAAGGATACCTTCAGTTGAGTCTTCTGTATGTTATCTTTCCATTAAATAAAAAAAAATGGTCATTTAATTTTTCAAATTAATAAATAACATTTATTTTAATTCCTATTTTATTTTTTACAAAATAACTATATGCGTGTAATTCAAAGAGTGATTTTTATTGGTGTATGTGCGTCCTTCTAAAATACTGTTAAGTTATATACCAAAAAATCAATATTTTAATAATTTGAAACAAAAACATAAACCCTGGTACATTCAAAATGCCACACTAAACACACTATCACTGCATGAGGAGAGAAATAGAGCCGAATTTGTAATGTGAGGTTGTTTTGTTGCTTAGTGAGAAATAGGAAAGCAGGTAAATTATAGTGAGTGCCTTATTTTATTTTTTTTTCTCTTGCTAATAATGTGCAAAGAAACTCCCAAGAAATATAAGTTTGTCCATTCTCAAGTTTAGAAAATACCCCAATTTACTACATGTTTAGATTGCGTCTATGATCTATGCTCTTCACTAAAAGATAAGGAAAGAAAGATATAAAAAGATTTTAAATAAAAGTTTTTAAAATCTCATCACTACAGTAAAGTTTAACAACCAAGTTCGGGATAGATTGGTGTAGTTCTTCTATACCTAGAACAACAGAATATTGAACGGTCCGTTCCAAGATGTGAAGTGAGAATGAAAAGATTTCATAATGAGAAAATATAAATAAACAAACTTTTGTTTGAGTTTCTACATATAAGGACACATGAACAATCATTTGATCCTTGTGAACCAAATTGAGTGAAACAAATTGAGATTTTGATATTTATGTCTAAAACATCAAATTAATAGAGAAACAAGTATTTTAAGCTTTGAGTTGATCCACATCTTATTAAACGTGATGCAAAAATAAAATACCTTTAATTGATTATAACATATTATTAATCAATTATGAACTTTTAGGTTGGAGTAATATTTAATCGATTATCATTGCTTTAATAATCGATTACCTCCTTACTTGGTTGTAACTTTAATCAATTGGAATTTCTAAATAATCTAATTGAAATTCTTAAACAATCAATTGTACTTTAAAATAATCGATTAAAAAGAGTGTCAACATGCATTGTAGGTAAGTTATTCTTTTAAGACTAAAAATGAAATTTACTTATTCTTATATTTTATATATTTATATTCAAATTAAACAATTTTATAATATTATTATTTCTCTTCTCTTTTTTTAAATCAAACAACTCAAAATTTCTATTTCTTGTAATCTCACTTATTTGTTTCATTATTTCTCTCTTACGGATTTACTTATTCCTTTTTCCTCTATTTCTTTCTTTTCTACCCAGTAGATCCTATAAGACAAGTGATGATACATGAAATTGAGTTTTGCACAATAAAGTTTAACAAAAAAAAAAAAAAAATCAATATACCGGAGATAAGAATGCTGCTATAGATAAGTAACAACAATTGTATGACAGGAAAAAAGAAGAGGAATTTGAATGAAAAGAAAGAGGACAAAAAATAAAGTGATTTGGTGATTTAATAATTAAGATAATAGATTAATAAATAAAGGTAAGCTCATGGCTAGATAAAAAGATAAAAAAAATATACATAAAATCATTAAAAATAGTTTAGGATTTAATAATTTATACATAAACGTTCACAATAGAACGTACGTCATGGCTTTGTTTGATCGATAATAGTCAATGTCAGACAATGGGAAAAGCTGGACTGCATTCAAACCAATTAAATGATGAATTAGCTACAGTGGCGGAGGTTTAAAAAATCCTAGTTTTATGGTGTAAGATGGAGTAGAAGCCGACGTTAATTAAAGTCAGAGTCAGAGGGAGTTGAGGTTGATGCCAATGGTAAGAAAAAATTAAGCCACATATACATTTGAATGCATAAAGGAGGAACCAGACGGGAATGTTTACTTTTGGGTTCATCTTGTGGCACAAAGTTTCCGAAATTTAGAATTTCAGCGAACAAGTCCAAGATTAAGTTCGTGATGGTCGCCAAACATTCAAAACGCCAATGATTTTGTTTCCTTTCCCAGAATTCAAAGAGTACGTAGATATATATATTCTTATACCCGATGGCATTAATATTCAGAAGGTCGACTCATTTTGACGAGAAAACTAGTGTGAAACTAAATGCACATTAGTGAAAAATAAGGAAAAGCTAAACAATGATTCAATTGCAATGGTGGGACATGAATTGATTTTGATTCATTATTATGTCACTAAGCTCGCTATTAGCGCTACTTAAACAAGACTTGATCACTTTTATTCTTTTGGTTTCCCTTTAATCTTTTTGACCAAAGGGAAAGACGAAAGATGAATGCACACAATTAAAGACTAGACTCTAGCGAGGGACATGATTCCCACCGGCACTGGACGTTTTTATCAACCAGGCTCAGCTCATGCTTATCCAATACACAAAAAGAGCAAAAGAAAAGAAAAGTAATGAAAAGGGTTTTTTTCTTTTATTTCCTTTCCATACACATCCCCTTCCTTCCTAGCTAGTTCCTAATTCATACCAATACTATGTTCATATTCATATTCATATTCATATTGGTATTGTGGAATAAAGAAAGAAGGAGAACGTGAGCATGTCCACGTGGGCATGCACTTGCCATGTGGACCCATGGTTCTTATCTGCTAACGTCAATAGCTTCATTGAACACCAACCTAAGATGTGGCCTGTGGGAGTGGGACACACTCTCTCCGTCATGCACCACTTTATTTATACTTCTCTTTTGTTTTGTTTTGTACACGAGGCACCCTCTATGTTGTCCACTGAGTACGGTCAAGGACAGGTGTCCTTTCACCCCTTCAATTATTCCATCAAGATCAACAATAACTTCCACCAAATTGTTGCTCAATTTTAGCTCCAATTATGTTCTCAAACTCTCCAAATGTCCCACGATTTTGTGTCCATAGAAATAATGATGCAAGTGACCCTGAGTTCCCCATGAATTAATAATTAAGATTGTTTTTAGTTAATCATTTTACCGTACAGAAATCATCTGTATACTTTTTGTGTTAATTTGTAAACTCTGAAACTTCTTTTCAAAACTATGTTGAGTTTCATGTAGACTGTATCGATAAGATGCAGTTTTTTTTTTTTTTTTTTTTTTTTTTTTAAACAAAACTAAAATGGACACGAGCTTCCAATTTCCAAAAAGGCCTATTTTTGTTTTTTAAGAACATTATGAATTTATGATATTTTAAAACAAGAGAGGAAGCAATATTTAAAATCTCCTTATCTTTTTCGCCAGGTGCAAAATAAGCACAACCTTCAATGACATTTTGCTCATCAAGCAAAAATGTCTCTCTAAGTGTCATATAGCATTTAGGTGTCAAAAGAAACATTTTCATCAACTAGCTAGTGATGAAATACAAAATTTTAATAGAACCTGATTCACGACTGGAACTTCAAACTAATCTATTTAATAATATGTAAAGGGAATATTATATTTTATATTCAATTTTTTTAAAATAAAATTATACTCTTATATTTATATTTTAATTTTTTACAGGAAAAGAATGTGCAACTGTCCACTAAATTTGTATTCTAATTATACTTTTATTTAAAAAAACATAAATATCTATTTATTTTTAAATATTTTTTTCATGAAGACACAAAGTATCTTTTTCATTATCAGTAATAATAAAGATGCAAAGACAAGTCTTATTTAATGATTAAAATACAAAGTTATCATAGAGTGTAATTCGACTTGTTTATAACCAAAACTTCAAGCCAACAATAGTAGTTAATATATTATAAAAATATATATTAATTGACATAAATAATAATAACTTGTATTCTTTAATCAAATTATTTATAATTCAAATTTTAATATTAAATATAAAATAAATTATGTTAAAAAGGTATGTTTATGATTCTCGACAAAAATACTACTTTTAATGATAGATACTTTTATACTAATATTATGATCTTTAAAAAAAAGTATTACAAATACTTTCACATGAAGATTAGAATATGTCACAAAATCCAGAAAAACCCATCAGTCATTGACCATTGAATCTTGAACAACACCTCCAAATCCAGAAAATTCCAATTTATGAAGAGAAGATCCATAAATATTAAGTTTAATAAAATTTCTTGTAGAAGGAGACCAACTAATATGACCAGAGAAATTCGGATATCCATCGATGTATTATTTGAAAATATTTCATGCATAATTATGCTATTCTATTTTAAAATAAAAGAGAGAAGTGCGTGTATAATAATATAATATAATAAATAAATATTAGTAGAGGATATAATAGAACTGTGGTAAACACTATTGCTTTTGTAATGTACGTACGCAAAAAGGGCCTAGCAAAACTTTGGTATACATTTTTGAATTGAAATGGAGCAATTAATATATGGTAAATGTGGTTGGGTTTCCGTGGTTTATCCATCAATGGTCAAATTGGGTGGGTCCCATTTATCGGGGACCATAAGGTTGGTTAGAATAAGACTCAGAAAGTGTCTCTTTTTTCTCATCGACTAGTTAGCGATGAAGAAAAGAATAGGGTCCGTCCCCGAACCCACATACGAAAATAACCCGACGATAACAGTCACAGATGCCGATGGAACCTCATCATGTGATTCATGTCAACATTCCAACCAATTCTTTTTTAGCCCTATTTTTCTCCAATTTCAACGTGTCATCATTCTTCGCCATCCACATCAATTCTTTCCATTAAGAGCTGTATTCAACAAACCGATTATTTATATTAATTTGAAACTTATAGCATTACGAATCACCGACACGATAGAAAATGCATGGATGGTATTTATATATATCTTGGATAGGTCAAATTCTAATGCACAATTAGTTCGTAATTGACTAAGAAATTAAAATACATAGTCTCAGCGCTGTGAAAGCCAATCAAGAAAGAAAAAGAAAAAAAAATAAAGAAACTTGAACCTTAGGCAACAAGGGGTAAAGAAATTACAAATGATGAGATCCTCCACAGCTAAAGTAAAAACGACTATTCTGTGGAGCTTACAACTAGATGTTTTTTGGTTGAGGTCGTCGAGGTTATACTTTTAGAATTTAGACTAAACCTAGGGTTCTTGATGGTGTGCATTAGTGTGGTTGTAGAAGATTAATATATAGTCAACGAGAAATATCTGACTTTGCAGTGTTAACTAACTGTTGCTCCATCTCCCAACTTAGCTTGGGGGCCACGCCACAGTGCTCGGGGACATATTCCTGAAAAATCAACGGCTCAGATAAATGGACCCACCACGTTGTCCCACGTGTGGACATATAATAGGATTGGAATGTACCATAACATAACATGATTAGTATTTTTAATTATTATGTACCTCAAGTTTGCACATGAGGTCTTGGGCAGTTTGGGCAGAAACAATAATGTGACGGGCAGCTGGTGTTACGAAGCCTTCGTCCACAGCTTTGTCCATGAACGCCAACAGCGAGTTGTAGTACCCATCCACGTTCAACAACCCCACCTGCAAGTGCGTCCCATCACTTTTTTACATTATAACTATAATTTTTTTTTTGTTTTTTTTCTCACTTTAATTCTTTGATAACTAGTCACCATTCAACTTCTAAAAATAATCATTAATCAACTACTTCCCCCTTTTGAACCGTAAACACCATCATTATGTCTTTTTCTTTGACTTCCTCAAATCAAAGAATTCACGTAATAATGCCTATTTATTAGTACCAATTAATAAACGAATCATTTCTTTTTAAAAAAAAAACTAGTAGTTGATTAGTTTGGTGACGTAGGCATTTATAAAAAAAATGCTCTATCACGAGAAAAAGGCATTTTGTGTGGAAGGGAAAAAAACCATCTAACACTAGCTCTATTAGACAAATGACTTAATTAAAAAAGAAAAGGAGTTTTTTGTTTTCGAAATCTTACCGGTTTATCATGGATACCTAGCTGAGCCCAGGTGATAATTTCCAATAGTTCTTCAAGGGTGCCATATCCACCTATAGTAATTTAAATTTGCAACAAATTATTATTATTACTGCCATAGCAATAACAATACAACAGTAGCACATTAAAAAAAGATCATAAATACTAAGAACTTCATTGGAGTCACCGCCAGAAGAATCAGAGTTATACAACACATAAGGTTGACAGTTACAGAAACAGTTGTCTTGGGAAACGCTTTGATTTCTCAAAGAATGTCAACCAAGGATAGGCGTATTTATACACGCACCTTTTCTTTTTCCACAAGCAAATACACAAAAAAAAAGTTTGCAGAGAGTTGAGTTGAGTGTAAAATTAATAATAAAATTATTGGGGTAGAAAATTTACATGGGAATAAAATATATATCGAAAGGGGTGAAATAATTTGAGGTGACGTTAGTGTTTGGAAAGCAATAACATGTGGTTATCGAAGAGAGAATTTAAAAAAGAGAAGAATAGGATGAGGAAAGAATAAGAAAGAAACAGAAACCTGGCAGTGCAATAAATGCATCGGCTTGTCGGGCCATTTCGGCCTTACGTTGGTGCATGCCTGATACAGCCTTCACTTCTCCAACACTCTCTCCAGTGATCTAAACACATTAATTAACTAATTAATAACTATTGTCAATTGAATTAATTAACTAAACTTAAGGTCCTAAGCAAAAGCAATTAGTAGTGTACCTCTCTCGCATTAAGTGTCTTTGGAATAACCCTGAGCAAGAAGAAGATTGGTGAGCCTAAATAGAATATACAGGAAGAAAGAGACAGAAGAATTAATTGAAGGGAGCGGTGAGTTACCCTAACACGTGGCGTCCACCATCATACACAACTTGTGAGATTAGACCCATTAACCCTATGCTTCCTCCTCCATAAACCAAGTCAATCTTCCTCTCCACCTACATATACCATACCATGCCATACATTTTTTTTGAATAAAAAATATTCTTTTACAAAGTAAAAACTAAGTAAACCCTTGGACACCCCAAGTATGAAAAAATGTTGAAATAATATATATATGTACTTGCCAGTTGTTTTCCGAGTTGAACAGCAGCGAGCTGGTAACTGGGGCTTTTGCCAGGGCTGCTACCACAGTAAACACAGATGCGTCTGAACCTAGACTTGATGGAGGGTTGTTGGTGTTGAGTTTCCATTTGAGACAGTGCGTTGTGTTGTGTGCAAGGGAATTAAGAATAAGGAGAGTCAGCAATAATTAAGTTTGAACCCAAAAGTGAGGGGGAATGAGAATTGGTGTCATTGCTTCTCTTTATAGTGTGTCTAGCTCTTAAATAAAGAAAATAAGAGAGCCATGCCATGCCACCCACACATGACATGATGATATTTCGCATATCATATCATGTCACATCCATCTCTCGTCTCTCCATCTTCTCTCCTCTCGTCTCGTGACATATTCTTCCTTCAATTCACACTCCTCCCCTATCATTTTCCTTTTCCTTTTCTAGTTCTCCCTATATTCCTCTTTCTAAATTCCATCACACTTATCAAATTACATAATTCATGCGCGTAATCCACTTTTTATTTTATTTTATAAATACAACTTTCTAAAAAAAAAAAAAAATTCAACTCTTTCATGATACAAATGACCTTTCAAGTTTAAATGTATAATGTCAGTATGTCACATGTACGCTAGCTTAATTTGATTAATACCCGTATACAATATTTAATATTTTAGATCAAATTTGTGTGTTAATATACGAATGCTAGCAGTTCGTGTTATAATATCTCTTCTCAACAAAAAAAAAAAAAAAATTATTTTTTGGGTGGTATTTTTTTCCCCCTTTTTTTTTTTTTTTTTTTTTTTTTTTTTTCTGTTATAATGGTTTCGAATTTGACAGTATCATGCACGGATGCAAGGTACCTATAAAAAAACATATCTATTAAAAAAAAAACATAATATCATGCATGCTATGGCTGTTTCTTTCCGGTTCTCATATGTTCGTACTATTAAACCGCTGTGCGGTTCAGTGACCCAAAATAATTGTCCTTCTCCATTTTTTCCTAAAAAAGTAATGGGGGCATGCTCATAACCGGGTTAACGACTTTATAAAAAAAAAAAAAAAAAACTATCACAGTTCAAGTCTAACACAGGTCTTGGATATAAAATAATTGGATAAATGAAAATAGAAATTGAAATGACTATTAGTTTAATTTTAGAGACACGAACACAAATTATTAATATGCAGGTTAATTTTTTTTTATTTGCCGGTACAGCACATTGTTAATTGTTTCGACCTTCAAAACCTTCATCAAGCTAAAAAAAAATATACAAGTCCCACTACTTGGGAGTTACATAGGTACACGTGAATGTCACGTGAAATCTTGGATGTTGTCTGTCCGGCCCGTGATTCGTGAACTTCTTTGTATGAAAAAAAAAAGTGCAAAGGAAATCAGACCGAATGCATAAATATCTGGAATATAATTTAACTCTTCGAATTATTTTTTTTAAAAATAAAAATTTACTACTGTCTATTATAGCCTAACCAAATAATTTTTTATATATATTATTTCATAGTAATATTAGTGTATAATTAAACCAAATTTATGTACAAATAAAACGTTTTTTTATTAACAACTGTAGTTTTATATTACTGTAAGAAAAAAAGACTATAGTTTTATATTTTTGAAAAGTATATTTTTTCATAAAAGCATATCTAAATTAAGACAATAGTTAATGCCACTCTAACGTGTTTGTTAGCTCACTTACTTGAATAACTTTTATTCGATCAAAATATATTTTTTCTTCTTTAATTAATAGTTAATGGGAAAATTATGAAGTTTAATTAAATAAAAGTGAAATTAAATATATTATATTCTCTTAAATTCTTTACGGATGAGTGGGAAAAAAATTATGGACCTACTGAATGGATATCAGATAATGATAACTTTTTTTTTTTGTTAGCATGATAATCACAGCTGTAGTGGTTGTTACATGTAATAGAGGACCAAGCTACTGGGCCTGCCCGATTGCTTATCAATCACCATTATAATAATGCATAAAAGGGATATTTCGTAAGAAAATAGAAAATAAAAATATTAAAATCGAACTCACATGGTCTTATATGACTTAATTAAATAGTCTCAAAATGCTCTAAAAGGTATATACTCTCTTCTATTTCATATTATCTGTTATTTTGAGTGCTTTTAGTTATCTCAAAACATTTATTATTTTAAAAATTAGTAAATATTAATTATTTTTAATATATATCTTTATTAATTGTTATTTGACATAAAATATTTAAATGATTTATAATTATGTTCTATTTTTCAATGAGGATATTTTTTTTATCAGATTTTATTATTATAATTTATGTAATTAATATTCTTTTAAAAAAGGTGTGAATTCTTTAAAAGATAAAAAATGAGATAGAAGAAGTATATAATTGTGAGAATATTGGCATGTCAAAACATATTTTTAATGATAATTTTGTAATTTACATATCCAATCTGATTAATGATGTTGTACTTTGAAGTTTCAAGAAGAGCTAACAGTGGCATGTATAGGCTTTGTCAAACACTCTCCACTGCTCAAATCAGATACGTTGCTATTTATGTATCTGTCATTTTCCAACTTAATGAGGAAAGAATGTTTTAGTAATATTCCACACCCTTTTTCTTTTTCTTTTTTTGGTCATTAGCAAGTTCCGACTATTATTACTGTTTGTTCATTTCTCGTTCTCATTTGCTTTTCCCTTAAATTAAACTGGTTACATATTTGATTACTGTCCTCTGAATCGGTAGTTATAGTTTGAATGAGTTGGAGACAGAACCTGGTTTTTCAATTTCCATGAAAAAGTAGCAAAACCTTTTTTACTTTTAGCTTTTCTATATATATATATATATTTATTTATTATCCCTTTTGAACGATTCTTCTTCTGAAATAAAATGAGCCGCAATTTAGGATTGTCTATGTTTATACAAGAGAATAATTCGTGGAAAATTTCTGAAGCTCACCACGGCCTCGAGAATTTCTAACGAGCTAAATCAAGAATAACTTTGGCCTGATATGAACTGGTTCTGTATATTTAAAAAGTGTCTTCTAGTGGTTCCGGCCTTTATTGTATGGTCGTGTTAATGACATCATAGTCACGTTCAAGAAGTAGTAGTGTTAATGGTAATTTTAGTCACCTGCGGAATGAATATTTAGTAATTATTTATAAGTCTATTTTTTTTTCCTTCAAAATGAGTAAATTTTAATTCTAGTTTTGTAAATTTTTATTTTTTCTTTTTAAAATTTGAAACATTTTTTTTTTGTCTCTAATTATTATTATATCATTTTTTAATTACTTATATGTTATTAAAATGTTAAGTCAACGCAAAATTAAGAAGGTTATGTAACTATTTTGGGAGTATCCACAACTACGTGTGATATCTTATTAGTGTGTAACACTTCTAAAAAAACTTTATACATCTTGAAAATAATGTTACAAACTCACACACATATACACGCATGAACACATGCACACACATACACATTATTAATTAGATTTTACATAGATGAAAATCAACGAATGATATTTTACATGGAGCAAAACTAAAATTTACTCAATTTACATCGACAAAAAGTAATGTGTACAAATTTTTATTTTAAATCCCAAAATTTTAGGATCCTTAATCTTTAGAGGCAAAGGTTTTTGAATGATGATACTATAGTTTGCTTCTAACTCAATGACATCCTCTTCTATGAATCTCTTCTTCTTTGTGAACCACTACATAAATTTCGTGTAGGTAGACATTTGCTCCAAAATTTAGTGAAGATATATAAGAATCGAGCATGTTGTCTTTCTCTACTCTTCTTTGCGGGTACAAGAAGTTATGGAAATTCTTTCACCAAAGTTTATTGTGCGTTCACCCTTTCTCTCTCACCACTTAATGTTTCATCTTCTTTTCCCCATCCCCCCATCTCAGCAAAACTAAAATTTACTTACATTGACAAAAACTAATGTGTACAAATTTTGATTTTAAATCTTAAAATTTTAGGATCCTTAAGCTTTGGAGGCAAATGTTTTTGAATAATGGCATTACAACTTGTCTCTAACTCAATGACATCCTCTTTTATAAATTTCTTCTTCTTTGTGAGTCACTCCTTCCACTACAAGAAAAATGATAAATTGCGACGGACAAATTGATCTCTTGCAACAATCACAAGAAAATAACACAAAATGAAAGAGAGTGAGAGATATCTTGTAATACCCATTTTATTATTATGGCATTTTTGTAAATTTTCAAAGGTATAGGGGTATTTTTGTAATCTTATTATTGGATGGCATTTTAGTAATTATCGGTGGCATTTTCGTAATTTTTATTAAAATTTTTGGGGCATTTTCGAATTTTGGAACGGGCTGTTCCAAAAGCGGAACGGGCCGTTCCAAAAGAGAAAAGTGTGTGTTCTGGGTACATGCAGAACGGGGCCAGAACGGGTCGTTCTCCAAAGGAGAACGGGCCGTTCTGCTTGGAGAACGGGGCGTTCCCCTTGCAGAACGGGCCGTTCTGCTTGGAGAACAGGGCGTTCTCCTTGCAGAACGGGCCGTTCCGAAAGGAGAACGGGCCGTTCTGCTGGGTTTCGAAACGGGCCGTTCCGGGGCCGTTCCAGTCGAAAATTTTACGTTGTTCTGAAGGATTCAGAACGGGCGTTCCGTTTTCGGAACGGGCCGTTCTGGTTAGGTGGCGAAATTTTGCTATAAATAGGGGCCTTGGGGTGTTGG